TAAAATATTATGATAAAGAAGAATGAAGAATCAACAGGAATGACTGAGACCATTGTTTCCACATCTAGAGAATTTTTTAAAAATTGTGGTTAAATATATGTAATCTAATTTGCCATCTTAACCATTTTTAAGTGCACAATTCAGTGGGATTGAGTGCATTCCCATTGTTGTGCCACCACTACCACCATCCCTCCAAAAGTCTTCCTGTCTTAGTGGGTAAAAATGTGTACCCATTACCTCTACTAACTTCCCATTCTCCCGTCTCCTCAGCTGCTGGCAACCACTATTCTACTTTTTCTCTCAAAGGACCCAACTATTCTACATACCTCACTTAAATGAAATACAGTATTTGTCCTTTTGTGACTGGCTTATTTTGTCCTTAGGGCTTGTCCTTAGGGCTTACCCATGTTGAGGCATATATTAGAATTACACTACTTTAAGGCTAAGTAATATTCCATTGTATGTATATATCACATTTTGTCTATCCACTCATCTTTGATGCTGGGGTTGCTTCCACCTTTTGGCTGTTATGAGCTGTGGCTCTATATACTGCTATAAACATGGGTCTACAGAGAATATTCTTTAAATATTCAGATGCCTTAGATTCTCTGATTTACTGAGTCACAATCTTAGAAGTGGGAGAAAAGGAATGGGGAGCAATTTGGAAAACATATTTTTAAATGTTTTCCAGGTGATATTTGATACAGTTTAGTCCCTGGATTGACAATTGGGATTTCCATATCCCACACAATAAGTATACTCATCTAGAAGTATTTACAAAAACCAGAATAATAAGGTGTGAATTCAGTATGCTGTTGAAAACCAAGGAGAATTTGAATTATGCAGAAATGGGAAGGGAAGGCATTTCATATTGAAGAAAAATAAATTTAGAGATACAAGCATTGTGATTTTACTTTTGTCGGTGTTCCTAATTACGGAATCATATCTCGTTCATATTCTAAATTGACTTAGAGTATATTTTCATTCATCCATTATTGAAAACACCACCACCACCAAGGTATTGTTCCACTAAGTATATAATAAATTTTGTTATGTTTATGAAACACTTGAGAGCAAAATACTGTCAGCTTAACCTTCCAGACACATCTGTTGTTTCTCTGGTGTAAGGATGGAACACCAGGAAAGAAAAGTTGATGCAGAAATGTGACCGCATAAAACTGAAATTCATTGAAAATTGTCTTTTGACTATGATGAAAGACTGCAGTTTTTAGTATACAAAATCACTCCCAGCTTTTTTCAATAGCTGAGAGAAAGTCGGCCAGCTGAGATCTTATCCAACATTGAAATGGAATTGCAAACATTCATCAGTTTCTTGATGTACCTTTAAGCTAGAGGAGGAATTTTGCCAGAAATCCTATTTTTCCAAATCATACCCTCTACTTCTAAATCAATACATCGGTCGTATTCTGCCCCGTTTGGTGAACATTAAAAACAAATTTATCACTCACCCTTTGATTCTACAAAGATGTTAACTCAGCATTTAATTTTTTCTCTTGATAAAACAGTATGTGTTTCTGATATGTCTGTTTTTAAAATGTCTCATTTTTATAAATTGCTTGGATATAACCAGGAAAATTCCTCCCATCCTGACTTTAAAATAACTTTTACTAACCTATTTTCATTTTGTAAGTGAACCAGTGATATTTGCTGTGACTTTCTGCTTCTTTTCAAATGCAATTCAAGTTACTTGATAAAGTGTGAGATTAACTGAAACTTATCATGCTGAGAATGTCTTCCTCTTGTTGTTTCTTTAATTCACTCAACAACAAAATAATAAGAAAGTACTTACTGTGTGTCAGGAACTATAAATAATGAGCAGAAAGAGATAATTTCTTACATGTACCTTATAGTTAAGTTAGAGAGACAGACCTTTATGAAAGAATCTCACAAATAAATGTATACTTTCTATACTTAAAAGTAGCAAAATTGAATCCATATTGTGCTTTGAGAGTGAATAACAAAGATCTGGTCTGAGGACTCATGGAAGGCATTTGATCTGAGAACTGAAGGGTAAGAAGGTAAGAAGCATAATAATACTGGGTATATGGGAGGCCAAGAGGGTTTTATGAAGAGGGAATGGCATAAACAGCGTTTAAGGTTGGCCTCTGTGGCTTGAACCCAGGGAGCACATGCAAATGTGCCTCAAATTGTATTAAGGAGTTTTACCTTTATTCCATGTGCAATGGTACATTAGCTTGGGTGGATATTAGCTAAGAATCTTTCAGATGCAAGTGATGGAAAACTCAGTCCAACCTGCCTTAAGACAAAAAATATATATATTTGGCTTATGTAAAGGTGAAGTTCAGAGTTCAGAGCCCACCCAAGCACAGCTTTATCTGTGGGAGGATGGTGTCTTCATGCCCCAGCTCTGGTTCTCTGGGATCTCTTGACTCTTCTCATCCTTGTGCTAGCTCAATCTTCAGTCTAGTTCCCATATCATGGTCACAAAATCCAAAGTCCCTGTTTGATTTGCTTAAATCACATGCCCACCTGAACCAATCTCTTTGGCTAGGGGAATGTAGTTCATTAAGTGGTGTAGGTATTGGTTAAATGCCCTTCCCTAAAACAATCTATGCCTAGGGGAGAGTATGCTAGTTAGGGCTTCCGCAACTCTGGAGCTGGAGGTGGGGGTAATCCCAAACGACTTGGCCAAGGGGTGGTTTCCTAAAAGAAATTTAGAGTGTTACAACCTTAAGGAGGGTGGAAATTTTCTTTACAGAAATCATTAGATATCTAATATATTTTGGAAGAATTTAAACAAAATAAGAATAAAGTAACATAAACGTGCATTCTCACTCGTGTGTACATGCACATACAAACACACACACGGTGGCTTTCAAAGTGGAACATGGCTTGAAATGATTGGAGGGGAGCAAGAGTAAATGCAGGGTTAGTAGGTTAGAAATGCAAAAATTAGTAGGTTAGAATAGTAGTCCAGTGTGAGGACAGCTTGGACAGAGAAAGGCAGTGGAATTGGGAATAATCAGAGAGATTTAAGAGACATTGAAGAGATAAATAAATCTCTCTCTTTTTTTTTGAGAAACCAGTTGCATTTCTGATGGAGTTTTCGTAACAATGGTGGTGCCTGGCTCAGGGCTGGGCAGGGGGTGCCAAACCCTCCCCGTGCTGTCCGGGGCCAAGGGTGATTAAGTTAATATGGAGGAAGAAAAGGCAAAGAAGTTACACATAAATTGGATAAATGGTGGTGACATGCTAATAAGGGGTAGTAAAAAGTTACCACCTTTGGGAGATACAGTCTCAGTTTCAGATTTACTTTAGGTTCTTTTGAGACAGCCAAGTGAAAATGACCAGAAGACACTTAGATTGTTTTGATTTACTCTGATAACATTTATTAAAGGCTTTGGGACAAATCACCTTTCACACTTGGTTAATTTCCATAAACTTCTTCTTACTAGAAAAAAAAAAAACCTTCTACTCCATCTCTTACAAAGAACTATTAGCATTCCTCCCATAATCTTCCTTTCATGCATTACATAATAATCTTCCCTTTTCTTTCTGAAATCCCCTTTCTCTGAATACACCCTAATTTCTATTAAGGAACACCCTGGCATACAGTGGCCTCTGCTGTAGTCTCCCAGACATTTATCACACAATGCAATGGGAGACACACAATTACGGTCTTCTATTGGTGTCTATCTTGCTCTAAGGAGTGAGGAGTGTTTTGGGGGGAGATTTAAACTTTAACATGTATTCCTGTCATAGTTTTAGAGTTACTTTTCCACTTTTGTGTATATTTATAATATTTGGTTGCAAGGGATAAAAACCCATCTCTATCTAAAAAGGTAAAAAAAATGTATTGGCTCTTTATAAAGAGAAATATGAGGTGAGGCTGGTTTGTAGGACTCTTAAGACTCAGAAAACATTGCTCGATCTTCCTCTCCCATCCCCTGCCTCCTTCTCTCTCTCTCTTGGCTGTGTTTCCCTATGTGTTTTGACCACTTCTACTGAAGATAGACTTTTCCTTCTTGAAGATTGATTGGAATGGGGGGTGAGGAGTAGGTATAAACAAATCCAAGCTTACATTACCACAGCTTGGAACACTCAGGAGATGAAAATAGCATTTCTCTCCATAGTCCATTTGTAAAATCCAAGGGTAAATTTTGATCTGCCTTAGGTCATGAGCAAACCCCCTGGAATATAGGGGATTCTGACTTACCAGTTGTGGGATATATACCTTCTTGATGGCAGGGATAGAATCTCATAATTTGAGGGGACAGGTGGTTGATTAAAGGAAATGTGTATATATATGGGGCAGGGGGCTTTGAGGAAGGTGGGACGGTTACCAGAAGAGGGAAGAAAGGAGTGCTGAGCATACAAAAAAGGTAGTTAGTTCTTATAGTTACAAGGTATGAAAATTTGTTCAAGCGTTTGCCCTATGGTGGGGGGAAGGGATTTTTTTTTTCTGCTTTTCATAGCTAAGACTTAGTAGTTCTGAACCTGAGTACATACATATATACCTTTTAAATACTCCTCTCATTTCTTCATCAGCTAAATATTAACTGAGTGCCTATGTTATGCAAGGCTTTTAGTTGCAATAAAGGAAGCAAAATATAATCAGTCAATACTTCCCTTATTGTAGTTCAGTGTCAAGGAAAGAAATTCTCAGTATAAACTCAGGTAAGAAGGGTGGGAGTGCAGTGTTCATTATTCATAGGCCGCATGTAAAGTTATAGCGTGGAAGAATATCGTGGAAATCCGAGAGGAGCTATGTCAAAGGGCACAGTCTAACCAAGATTAAAACTGGAGGGTAGTTCTGAAGCCAAAGGGTAGTGCTTCTGGTCAGGGATTTTAATCTTCTCTCTAGTGCCCACCATTTACGTGGTTCAAATAGTGTTTACATATTTCTTTCCCTCTGTCCAACTAAAGACAGTTAAAAAAATATATATGCACACACACACACACACACGTGTGTGTGTGTGTGAGTATATGTGTGTGTATATATATATATATATACTTACAATTTAAATACCTGAGAAAGGACATCTGTTTGACTCCACCAATAACTATTGAGACATTTGAGTGGTTTCTTAGGTTGGGTTTCCATAGAAGCTAACCTGGAGGTAAAGATTTGAGAGCTGGTATTTAACTTGGGAGGTGGTTCCTGGAAGCACTTTTAGGGAACAGGGAATTAAGACAAGGAAGGGAAAGAAGCCAATAAAGGGTCCATTACTGAGCATGTTACTGCATTGGGCAACTGGATTTCAGTTCTACAGGGGAACTCTGGGAGACAGTGTAGAATTTTCTTCAGAGTTATCCCAGTTTAGAAGTGAAGAAGTTGGGTATTTGTCCTCCATTTCCCATCTTTCATTACATGAGGGCTGATTCCAGGGGTGTTAACTTCCATGTACATCCTGTCTGCCCCATATCCCTTAGAAGGTGGCAGGTGCTTATAGCAGGATGCTGTCAGCATGAAGTGGATCAGAGAGTGTGGGGAGTATATAATAATCAGGGAACCTACAGCATCTGTTATAAGCAGAACCTTATTCTAGTCAAATCATAGGGTGACGGCCTTCCGGTCAATGTCTAACTAACTTTGGCTCCTATAAGAATTGTAGGTATTAAACAGTTTAATAGGCTGCTTTTTCAAAAGGGCTGCGGGTGTGGCTGGAACTGTTGAATAGCATGTCTAGTATATGGAAATAAGAAATAGAAAGATACTTACAGTAGCAGATCATTTATCTGGAAGTCTAAATACCATAGCATCCAAATAACAGAAGTGCTAAAAAAGAGAATAATATAGTTTAACCAATGATAACAGTAATGTAACAACTATGTCCTGGTAATGTATGTGTTGTGATAATTCTTAGTTATTTGCAGGTTTAGGCACACAAAAAATGTTTTTGAGGCTTTACATTGAAGTTATGCAAATATGTGTTAATAGGCCCTAATCCATATAATTGAAAGAAATCAAGAAAATGTGCTCATTATTTCCTTCCTTCAAGATTTAATCCAAAAGTCTGTGTGGGCAGCTGGGGGCAGTGGTTGTGCTGGGCTGGCATACAGTGTTGGAACCTGAGCAGCATGAGGAAGGTATCCATGTGGGGATGTGGCAATGGCAGCCTGGAATAGGTGTCAGAGCGTGAGTGGAATGAGGGGAGTGTTCACACGGAGAGGTGGCAGCAACAATGGGAAATTGTTACATACAGGGATATTCAACAAATATGTAAATATGCTAAGGATAATGGTTGTTGGGACTCTCATTGTTGGAGAAGGTGAGTGCAAATGAGAAAACTAGAATGAACTCTGTTTTTTTGGATTAGCAATATTGATGAACTGATGAATTCAATAGGTAGATAAACAGAAAGATAGCTGGATAGATGGAGTTGTAAATGTATGTATACATACATATGTATATACATGCTGTAGTTATGTCCACTGGGAGAGTATAGAAATAGCAATATCCCAATAGCAGTGAGCACATTTAGCAACCAGACCTTGGCATCTAAATTCCATTCTTCATTAAAAGGAATAAGGCAGAGTTAAAGTACACAACTGATAAGGTTGTTAAAAGAACAGAAAAGCCAGTTTCCAGAGGCTCACACTGGCCAAATCTGGTTGTCACAATAAGTAACAATAACATGGATTATAAAATTGAATAAAATAGGAATTCATGAATCCACACTGATATAAATAACTGTAGAAAGGAGAGAGGTTTTCCTTATAACTAATAAATGTAGGAGTGATAGAATTTTAGAATTTTAGAAAATCACTATTTGACAACCATCATAATAATAATTCAGCAAAAAAAAATCAATGAATGTTAAAATTAACTAAAATTTATGAAGAGTGGAATAAAGAACCTTTCAATAAAATGCTTACTCCTTAGAAAGTGGAAAATACAATTTTATAGAAGAGAAGCTTGGCAGACACCATCTTAATCTAATGTAACTAAAGACCCTTTGAGGAGAGTTTCCTAAAACAAAAGGAGTTACTCCAAAAGCAATAATCTCTTCACCTCCAAGGATCAAAGTTCCAGCCCTCTCTGTTCACTACTTACACATTCTCCTTCACTATCTCCTCCTCATGTGACCTTCTTGACCAAGTGCCCTATTAAAACTAAAAATGAGATCATTGCATTCTGTCACTTTAAAAGACCTCTTTTCCATAGCTGCTATTTTTCACAAAAGTTTCAAAATATGTTGAGTGGAAATTCTGATTAATTCTTACTTCACTTAGGTTGTGGCTATGTGATTTACAGTGAGAATTGTGATCACAATGCACAAAGTTTTGATAAGTTTTTCAAAGTAAGAAATTTGCTGGTAAAAGCCTTATAGGAATGGATAGCACTCCGGTTTGACAGAATTGGCATCCTGAAGTGAATTTAAAATGGCCACAAATTACAGCTCTTCCCAATAAGTACAGTCTTATTTTCCCTACCTTGAATCTGGGCCAGCCTTGTGACTTTGACCAATAGAATATGGTGAAGTGACATTGTGTGACTTCCTAATTGAGGCCTCAAAGAAGTCTTGAAGATTCTGCTTTCACCCCTCTGAAATCTAGATGCTACATGAGTAACCCCCAAGCTAGCCTACTCCAGAGGCCATGTGAAGGCAAATCAAGGCACCCAGCCAACAGCCTCAGTCAACTGCCAAATGTGTGAATGAGACCATTCAGGACCTTTCTGTCCCCCAGCCAACTTGCCAACTGACTGTAAACATCTGTATCCACCCATCCAACCATGGAGGAACAGAGACAAGTCTTCCCTATTGAGAGCCCTGCCCAAAATATCAGCCCATGGGACTGTGAGCTTTAATGAACCAGGAGTCAACAAACTATGGCCTGTGAGCCAAATCTGACCTCTTCCCTGTAAATAAAGTTTTATTGGAATATAGCCACACCCCTTTGTTTACATGTTGTCTGTTTTTGAGGTGAAACAGCAGATTTGAGTATTTCTGACAGAGATTATATGGCCTACAAAGTTTAAAACTATCTAGTATTTGGGTTTTCCCAGAAGTTTGCCAAGCTTTATTTGAAGCCATTAGATTTTGGAGAGGTTTGTTATACAGCAGTAGATAACTTAAACACTCCTTTTATGTGAGAAGAGAAGTTAAGTCTTTGAACTATAATTAATTTCTGCAATTTCAGGTACACATATTTGATACCTCTGAAGGCATTTAACTTTATCTAGACTGAACATCTATTTTAATCTGAATAAAAATGTCATTTTTCTAAATAGAATATATTAATAATGCTGGGTAAAATATTCACTTTTTTGATCCAAGGCACTTTTTGAATTTAATAACCAGATAAAACATAATATGGCTCCTTTCCACCCTCAGAAATGCTTCATTTAAAAATTATTCATGCTAAAGTGATTTTTACATCATGTCAGAAATGAGCCTCAGTGGTATCTTTTAAGGTGTAATAATTCACTGCAGAAAGCAACCTGTAAGTATTACTATTACATTTTCACAACTTTTGCCTGACAGGTGGCCCTTATCTTTTTTTTTTTTTAAAGAAAAGTAAAATATTAGCCTGTCTTTAACCTTCAAAGAGATGAGCCATATTTTCTGACTTATACAAGGTATTTTTAAAAACTAATTTTAGGGATTGGCAGATCTACTATGTAATCCTGGCTTGTTAAAAAGTATATGAATAGATTTCCACATAAGCTCGGGAAATATGAATAAATATAATGTGTAAAACACTTTCAAACTCAAGATATTTATCTATGTACTGCAGAGGTTTACTATCTATTCTTCCCTGCCTGGATACATGGACAAACAGTTAATACCGATGAAATGTTACTATTTTCACAACAAACTACAAAATAAAATATAAACAAAGGAAATGGAAAATACATTTTTCCATGTAGCTGTGCAGAGATATAAAAGGTATAGCAGAGCTTGACTGTACCTGGCCAATTCTCCTAAGTCAATTTTGAAGCATGTATAACAATGATAGAAAATGCTGGTTATAGAAACACTATGAAAGTGGGAGCCTAACTTGCCATTAATATGAGTTCTTATGATTTTGAAGGCCTGACTCTAGGCTAGCAATCAGACCTAAAGTATTTTTTCTCCAAGATATTTCAGGTGGTCCATTCAAATTTTAAGAAAAACTTCCACAATTCCCAATTTCATCTCTACTTTTCCTACATGCCCATTATTTATAACACATATCCAATATTTTACAATTATATTTAATAACATACTATACTTTTATTGTCCTTGAACCAGAATTATAGGATTTTAGGACTGGAAGATACCTACAGATTATCTGGTCCACTTGCTTCATTTTGTAGAAAAGGAAATTGTTTCTCTTCAGTTGTTTGTGCACATATCTTATCTCCAAAGGGCCAACTTTATAATACCATTTTGCACATATCTAATAAACTTCCAGATTCTAAATACTTTAGAGTGGAATAGAAATAATGTGCACTAATACTAACCAGTTTAATTTAATACTTTTAACAATAATTTCATGCAGAAGTTGAGACTGTTCTGGTTGTTTATAGATTACAAGATCTTGAGTAAGAGTCCTGAAAGACCAGCAATAAAATTCAAAGGATCTAAAAATGAGAATAAAGATTGAATTTATCAGTACTTTTGTGTTATGGTCTAATTTGTGTACCTTCTTTGAAGTCCTAAATCCCAGTACCTCGGAATATGACTGTATTTGGAGACAGAGTCTTTAACAAGCTAATTAAGTTAAAATTAGGTCACTATGATGGGCCTTAATAAAAAATGGTGTCCTTATAAAAAAGAGATCCAACACACACAGACACACAATAGTTCTAGCCTTCAGAATTGTGAGAAAATAAATCTTTGTTGTTTAACCCACCCAGTCTGTGGTACTTAGTTATGACAGCCCTAGCAAACTAATAAACCTTGTAAAATTTGGTACCCAGGGCTAGCGATAATAATATAGATGTCTGACAAATGACATGATTGTCATCTTTATTATGCTGAAATCATAAATACTGTTGATGTGACACAGGACTTTGTAACCAGTACACGGTTCAGATATTCTGTGGCAACTTCTCAACCCAAAGTTTCATCCAAAGACACACATTTCAAACTCCCAAAAACAACTGGAAAAAAATGTTTAAATTTCACTTAAATCTCTTAGAACACACACAAAATGACATGATATTCATAACACATGACAACACTTCCTTTAAAACCTTTTCCTCATCTTAAAAGCCTCCCTTGCCACAACGCAGCAACTAATCCAATTTCTTTTTTTTTCTCTTTTTTATGAACTTCCCAAATCCTTTCAGCCAGCGCTTACTGGTTTTTGCCTTCCTTATTGCCTCCTCTCATCTTCAGCATCTGCCTTTTTTTTTCCTGCAGCTCTTCAACTTACCCAGTAAATCAATCAAACCTTTTTCCTCTTATGCAATGCACAAATTTCTTTAAAAAGCCAAGGAACTGACCTTGCCAAGAAAGAACTTTCCTTGGCTGATGGAGAGAGGGGAGAGGTTGTTAACAGACATGTTTTTTTTTTTCCTGTCAAAAATGCATTAAATGTGTTGACAGCTATTACACATTGTTGCTGATATTGTTTTCTGTAAACTAAAGGGTTTCATTGTTTAAGCGTTAAATCAAATCATCACTATCCTGTATTCAGTTGTTTTGTTTTTCCTGTTAAGTTTTATGTTTTGACCCAGTGTTCCAAAATTCCAGGATCTTTTAAAATCTTTTTGTCTTTCATCTAACACATTAGACATTTTTTCTAGTTTTATGAATTTGATAGCCTGGGACCACCAGCTGAGAA